ATAAGTTTTAAATACAATAATACAATTACTCAGCTTGTCTTTCTTAGAGCGTAGATGGGTAAATGAAAAAGTACCTCGATGGTATGGATTTTTCAATGTTTTTATGTTTCGTAAGAAAATTAGGTTACATTATCGTCAATTGTTTTAGTTAGTCGAAACAATTTACTTTATGCCCGCAAAAGCAGGTTTAGTAATTCACAGCAATTTAACAATATAGGAGTAATGAAATCAACAAAACAACAATTCCAGTGGCAAAGCGTGGCACTTTTGTGTGGTCATCGCCAAATTTGCGCAGTATCTCCCCTCCCGCCAGTATTTGCCCAACTGTATTTAGTTGTGCCCTTTTTCACGTATCGAGATCGCGCCCGTTTCTGAGGCGATGGGGGCGAGGGATCGCGATGTCGTAGAGTGTTCTGTTTTTAAAATGCACAAAACTACGTTCATTTTATGATTTTTTAAAATTTTGTTTAACTAAATCTTCTGATTTCCCTTAAGGCAATATTTAAATGCTAGAAGTCTTGCTATGACAGCAAAACTGAAATTCATTCAATTCAATACTAGATTGAGATTTATTCAGTCAAAAAAACCGTAAAAACTGTATGTGACGTAAGGGGGAAAAGATTATCTGCGCACGTTTTCTTGAGTTCCGAATTCCTTCCCGTCATTTATTAATTAATAGTTGACACTATTAATAATAGTTAACACTATTAATAATATAATAATAGTTAACACTATTAATAGTTGAAAGATGAGTAAAAGTTTAACATAAATAAATAAAAATAATTTTTAAAAATCGTAAGATTAGCAATATTTGAAAAATAGTCATTTTCGTTTCTGAGTTATAGAAAACTTATTTGCATTGGTATACGAATTGCAAGTATGATTTTTCTGCATTGCTAATAAAAGCAACTCGCCCTTACCTCTATTCGTACCATTACAAGCAAAAGGAGAGTTCAACAAATCGTGCACATAGTCAAGGTACATTTACATCCAGAAGCAAAACTACGGGCCATCTCAGCATTTGCTCAATGGATCAGAGAAACTGGACAAAAACCTGATTGAGATGGAGGACATTGACCCGGAAGCTGAAGTACATTATTTATTACAAACATATTAAGTCTTTTTACAAAAATTATACAATACAAATGTAAAGTAATTCATTATATGTCACTGTTTTGTTAAATAAACTGTTTTTTTGATAATCAGTATAGTCTCTAATTGTATAGAAACAATTGAGCAGCAGAAAAGGTTTCACTTTTAACATAAATTTGTGACCCAACTTCAATTGTTTAATGTCATCTGGCAGTGCCTTGTAAAGTAACATACATGTATTGTACGTGGATTTCTGATAGTGAGCTGTTGTTACTGACACTTGATGAACGTGATTTTTACGACATGTGTTGTAATAATAAATATCAGTATTGTATGAAAATATGTTCCCACCGTTAAGTAAGGTACTTTTGACAAATATTAGAGATTCTTAAATATATAGGCAAGGCAGTGGTAAGATTCCAAGCTCAATGAAGAGAGGCTTGCAAGGGTATTGCAGATAGCATTTTTTCATTATTCGAATAATTTTCTTTTGCGATATAAAGATCTGAGTACTACATGATCTGTTTCCCCAGAATTTTATACCATATTTCAGGTGGGAATGTACATTTGCAAAATACATGCAACGAGCTGCATGAAGACTGACAGAATTTGATGGAATTCTGAATGCGTAACATAATGAACTTAATTTAGTGTTTGATTTTGTTATATGTACATTCTATTGACTTAGTTTACTGAATTGACAGACCTAGAAATGTTATCTGAATATCTCCTAATTGCATATTATTCATTTTCAATGGAGCATGCGATTGCTGATTTGAAATGCAAAAATTTATTTAAAATGTTTTTCTTTCATTAACTATTAATTTTATGTTACAAAACCAATTTGAAACTTCTAAAATCGTACTATTTATTGTTTATTTTTTGCAAAGAACATTTGTGTCATCGGCAAACAGAACCGTTCTTCCGTTTTTAATAGACAAGGGCAAATCGTTTACGAATAACAGAAAGAGGATAGGACCTAAGATCGAGCCTTGCAGAACCCCATATTCAATTGGTAAAGAGTTGGAAAGATAAGTAAATAATGTCCTTTCGTACATGTACGGTATTTCTGCTCTTTGAGATCGATGTTTAAGGTACGAAGTTATCCAATCTATGGCTATATCACGAATTCCATAAGAACGTAATTTTGATAGCAAGATGTTATAGTCGATAACGTCAAAAGCTTTCGAAAGATCAAAAAATATTACAATAGTTGCTTCCATTGATGAAGCAACGTCTTTAAGAAAAGGGAAAAAAAAATGACAGTTTCTGTAGATTTTGATTTTCTAAACTCGTGTTGTGAGACTGAAAACGCTTTGTTTTTCGTGAGCAAAGTTTCCATTAGCTTATAGAAAAGCCTCTCTAATGTTTTAGAGAAACCTGACAAAGGAGAAATTGTTTGATAATTTTGAATTTCATTTTTCTCCCTTTTTTAAAAAGTGGCTTAATTTTTGGTGTTTTGAAAATATCTGGAAATATTCCTGTGCTTAAAGAAGCATTGAAAATGTGAGTTAATGGGTGTATAAAGGCAGGTTCACAAGTTTTCAATAAACAATCCAGAAATTCATCTAAACCAGATGAATATTTATTTTTTAGTTTATTGACTATTCGTCAGATATCGTTAGAAGAAGTTTCGGAAATAAAAATCGTGTCTAAAAATTTTTGGGAAGGTTATGTAGAATTTTGTGGTTTTAGTCCTTTTGTGAATTCAGTAGCAATTCTAGAAAAGTGTTGGTTGAAGAGTTTTGCCACTTTTTCGGAACTGCTGGCTTCTCCTTCATTATCCTTTAAAACAACATTCTCTACTTAGTAGCGAGATGATGTGGTCGTATTTTTTACAATACTCCACATTGCTTTAGTTACTAGCGTTTAAAATATCATGATTATTTTTCATTATTTTTGCCTGAACTATTACTTTTCTTAAGATTCTTGCGTGTATTATGTGTAATGAAATACTTATTTTAAAATTCGTTTGATATTCGATTACCATTCATTGTGATTTTAGCTTGTTCAGCAAGAAAGCGCTCCCCTTCCACGCGAAAAAAATTGAAACGGGCTAATATTCGATTGAGTAATCCTTTCAGCATTCTACGCATCAAAAGAATGTTCCAAGGTGGAAATATTTCTACCATGGGAAGTTCCAAATAATCGCTGAACTTGACCCGTAGGTCAAGGCTCTGTGTAAGAATCAGGCCGAGAGTCACACGATTAATAGTTAAGTACCCAATGCTCATGTACACGTACAGTATTGGAGTATTTTTAGATCTTTCAATAACTTTTGACATTGACCGTAACATTTGACTTTTCAATGTTACCATCATATGGAATATGTGGTATTGCTCTAAGTTGGTTGTCATACCTTAAACAATGGTCTCAGATAGTAGAACTACCTTATTGGAATGATTGGATATTATATATAGACCTTTCTGATTCATTTGCCAATTGCACATGGAGTTCTGCAGGGATTGATTTGAGGCAATATTCTCTTCCTACTACACGTAAACGATATGCCCTCGACGAGTAGAAACAGAATAATAGTTCTTTTTGCGGATGATACGAATATTCTTTGCAATAAAGAAACTGTAAATAGTACAATATAAGATATTTCAAATTGATTCCATAATAACAAATTAATAGTAAATGAGAAGAAATCGTTTTCAATGCAGTTTTCGATTTAAAATTCTGTATTCCATTGAAAATAAACTATATGCCTTCGACAGATATTAAGGTAACAACATTTTTAGATCATTATGTTTTTCGGAGAGAGATATGTAATGTAATATTTTCTGAAATAATTACTTTGCCATTCGCATGCCAGAATTTATACAGATTTTTTGTAAAAAAAGAAAACTGAAAAGAAAAATGTAAGGGATGTGTGGCAAATTCAACATTATGGAGGGGACACCAGGGATAAGAGCACAGCCCTTTTCAGAAGAATCCAGGAAATACTTTTGGAGTGGAGCTTGAGTTAACTACTACATCATGCAGGAAATTTTGTAAAGTTATAAGATAATAGAATGTTGCAAGTTGTGTCACCATAATGTTTGTAAATGTTGCTGACTTTCCTAAATTAACAGATTTTTTGATATACGAAATATAGCTAGTTATTGCAGCATTTGTCTGGAAAAAGCCTTCAAAACGTTTTGGACAAAATTTAGAAAACATTGATGAAGAGTCAATTGCAAGTGAAACAAATTATCTTGCAACGTGAGACTGACTTATTCATTTATGCATTTATTTTTATTTGAAAACCTGTATAAGGTTTAATGTTTTATTTAGATTTGTATGTCATTCTTTAGTTGAGCATGTAAGTAAATACTCAAAAGACTATTCAGTAACATGAAGCCAAAGTGAATTAGTGATATACAGAATCCATTAAGTAATTTCACCATGAAGTTTTAAAAAATCTTAATGAAGTCTGTAAAATATCGTTTATTTTCTACAAATGTGGGAAATGAAAACCCATTGGAAACTATAAGGCACATTATTAGTGTATGGTACTTTCAGTGTCTGTTTCAGTTTCTGAGTGAGTACATACACTCATGTAAATAAAAACTTCAACTTTAATGTGAATTTATAATTGTTCAGTCCTTTTGGTATTATATTTAATTGGAGGTTCTTGTATCCAAATGTCAAATGTCATTTCATCTAAAGTCACAATTTTTCACTGTGTACATCTACGAGATAAAATCATCATGAAATCCTTCCCATTTTCTTTTTTTCTTAAAGAACTAGTTGTTTCTACAATGTGCTTGTACAAAAGTGTCTTGTCCTCAAAAGTTATTTTATATTGACAATGTATTTGTAATTATAATTTACTTTCTATCATAAAAAGTAAATTAATATGTTAAAATTATTTAAATCTTTTATGTATGTGTGATTTCCATAATATTTTTTTTCCATTTCAGTTGAAAACTCAAAATCCAGGTGCCGGTATCCAAACTGGGTGACTGAACATCACCAGTGGCATACTTTGGATTTAAGCCGTTCTTATCACTTTTCCCACAAGAATGCTACCTTACGAATATCTCATTCTGGGCCTGAAATGAGAGTGATATGTCACAATGCAACAGAAAGTCATCACCAAGTCACTATAGTTGCTCATACAACAAGTGGCTGGTAAGTTTTTAAGTGTTTGTTCTTTTCCTTATGAGGATGGATATAACACAACCAGGGAAGCAAAGTGCGAATTGACCAGGGAAGAGGTGGGTGCTGGGAGCCCTCATAGAGAGTTCGATGTCCCCTGCTGGAGGAGTATTAATATCTACTTGCTAGGGATTCAATTAATCCATATTAGGTGTTGTATTTATGATTTCCACACTTGGAAGTGTGTAAATGATGGAATCCAAATCACAGAAATTGGCCAAGAAAATATTTTCAAGAGCATTTTTTGCACTTATTCAATTCACTTGGGTTGTGTAAACAAAGATGGTTTTGTTTCTCTATCCTATTTTTCTCCATCCATTTTACAATTCCCCTCCCAAAGTTTTGAATGTCCCCCTCTGGAGAAAATTGCCAATTCACACATTGTCCTTCTGCGTAACAGCAAAGGAGAACAACATTAGTTCTAAAAAAATGTTAATGAAAGCTGCAGTATATTGTTTATTTTCTACAAATTGTAGAAACTCAAAACGTATTGGAATATGTGGGGCATATTAAATGTGTACATAATATTGCTGCTTCTAATCTGAGTTAATCTACCCGAGTGTGAGCATACACTCATGCATGTGTGAATAAAAACTTATAACTTTAATGTTAATTTATGAATATTCAATTCCGTTGATGTTCTTGTGATTTCAGCAATAGTGGTTATGTGTGCATGCGATTCTACAAACGAGATGGACATGTGATTGAGCTCCAGCAAAGCAGTAAGTCAAATTAGATAACATGAACACAAATAGAGTATTACAGCAAATAGTTGTGAAGTATCTCATATCTGATCCTTAAACACTTTCAGTCTTGAGCCTTTAATACTGTGTTAATTCCAGAATCCTGTCCATTTTGAGACAGTTTTCAAAATTTTTATAAAGTTAAATAAGAGATAGGTATATGAAATTCGTTGTAAATAAAACTTTAAAACTTAATTAACCAAGAGGGAAAATATTGATGTGGTAGGTTTAATGAAGCATAAACACTACTAATTTTAAAACAACCCCTTTTTTCCTGTCTGAAAAAAATTAAATATACATATGTATGTATGTATTTGGCATTTAGGATTAGATTAATCTGGCTTTCGCCAGCTAGCAGTGTTCCCATGACTGGACCCTGTTTTTATGTATTATCCACACCTGGGATTAAGGAGACATGTGGCAAGCATGAATTATTTCAATCATTGTTCCTAGCTTATTTAGCCTGCCTGAGCTTTTTGCCATCACACAGCTTTAGAAACATGATTTGTATTAGAAAACTACAGTTTCATTTTTGCCCTGGCTAGGAATTGAACTCAAAACTACCTCACAGAAAACTGTCATGCTGTCCATGAGCCACCCAAGGGTGCAGAAATTTCTATATACTAACTGTAATATTTAAATAAAATGTATACATGTTCTGCGGAATTCAATACATACATGGCTGTGCAGGAGAAACCACGTCCTAGTCGAAGATGCCAGCATTTCCCTTGATATATTGCTACCTTTCTCAGACCAAAATGCAAACCAATGGACTCTGCATGGGCAGATATAGGAGATAGAAAGTATAGATATAATTGGCTTCAGTAGTGGTAGAATCTAAAACTTCATGTATTCTTTGAGAAACCTGATGATGTTTTTTCACGTCACCAAAGACCAAATACTGCTTGTTATAGGCAACAAAATTTGATTAACGTGAGACCTGAGTTACACTCCAGCTCCATCCGCTGGGATTAAAATTATAGCCCAAACCCTGCTCAGGCGTAAGACTGAAAGTGTTATCTATCTGTTTGAATGGCAAATTCACAAAAAAATTCACTAGTAAATGCATTCTTTTTCACATTTTTCTTAAACATTTTACCTAAAATATTTAGTTCGTTTTCATATAAATTCTTGATGAACTTCACTCTGCAATAATAGTTTCCATTTAGAAGAATTTTAAAGCAATATGTTTTGTCCAATAAGTGAAAAGATGGAACTCATTTTCAATATTATTAAGAGTTAGAAAAATAATATTATTTTTGAATGTTTGTTGCAGACAACACTGTTCAAGTAGCAGAAGAAGCTTGCAACCCAGAATATTTTCCTCACACCACTCTACCATATACAACACTCATAAGTAAGAAATTATTTTTATTCTGTTTTTTTAATAATAAAAAAAAAATTTAACATTATTTATGTTCAAGGGAGAAAATACATGCTGATACGATTAGCATTAGGTTCTGTCATCAAAAGTATTAGCCAAATGAGAAAAAATTCAATATTCTTATTAGATCTTTAAACATTTTTTGCTGATTATCTTTCTAAAAAGAGCAAAAGATAATTGTTTATAAAGGTTTCTGTAAACATTTTTTGCCATAAATTCATTTATTTGTGTTGTTTGCTAGGTAAGCATGCTTTTCCTCTTGCCTGAGTGACAGGGCATTTGCAACCACAGAATTGGCAATTGTTTGTGACCACGGATCAAATTCAGACGAGTGGAATTCGGAAATGCTTGTGATCTTATGTACTCTAATAACATATTGTTTTGGTTTTAGTTCCTTCTGTTTGTTCTCTGTAATCTACATTTATATCAGTCTCTGATTTCTGTTTCGAGAACCAAAAACATTGAATGCATCCCTGAGCAAGTTCATTATTACAATGTTTTTTGTTTTTTTTTATTGTGAAGTTGGAAATTAACTACATTAAATTGGAGCATATTTTGATTCCAGCAGTTGGATAACTTCACATAAATTTCTAGTAGTTAAAGCAGACGCAGGTTGTTGTCTTTTGAAAGCATACACTGTGTACTCCAAGCTGAAGTTGTATTCAGCCATCCACCTGGGTGCAAAACGTGATGAGAAATATTTTAATGAATATATTAACATCTGCTATCTTGTTTATTAACAATTTATTTATTTTGATGTTTTGACCCTGTTTGTGGTCTTTTCATAAATATGTTGTTAGCATTTTAATAGAAAATGTCAAAAAGAGATGATGTTTACAACTTGACCAGGTTTATCATTGACAAATTTTTATGAAAATGCTTACTGTTTGTTTATGATGTGTCAACAAAGCTAGACAATAGATTTTTGAAAGACCCCAAATAGGGTAAAAACATCGAAAACAAATAAATTGTTATAAAAAATACAGAGTCTGTTTTAGTCAAAAAACTATTAGTGATAAATTCAATCCATGCCCAATTTGATCATGTATTCGAGAAAGATGATGTCTTAATGGAAAGTGTCAAAATTACATGTCATTAAAACTTATTAAATCCAACAAAAGTTAACCAAAATATAATGTTCATAAGTGGTGAGTCTTACGAGCAGTTGCCTTACTTCCTACTACACTGCAAGCCAGAGCACATCCAAACTTCTCCTTATGAAAAACATATTGGTTTTTATTACTTTGTTTTCTGTTTCTTGATAATTTCCCAATGCACAGCCACTACACATCTCTTTGTATATCTTGCACTTTGAACTTCCCACTTAATTGTAAACATCCCTGAGAACGTGTAAAGACAAGAGTGAAAGGGCAGGTTTGTTTTGATTTGTTAGCCTTTTGGGTGATGTTGAGATCACACTAACGAACCCCACAGTATGTTCTCGTGCAAACACGCTTATCATCATGACCAGGTTCTTGAGGAAATAAATTCCAGAGAAGAGGAGACAGGAAGGAAAATAGTGTGTCACTAGTTGGAGATGGCCGATCCGGTGACCGAGATCGCTAAGGCAGAAGTGCCGTAGCGATCTCGTACCGAAAGGTCGCGGGTTCGAGTCCTGCCTTGGGCAAGGTTGTATTGTGTTCGTCCTTTCACCCCCTATCATCATCATCATCATCGTATCAGGGAAGGCAACGGGAAACCACACTGAATAATTTATCCCAAGAAACCCGTTATGGGTCACCTAACTTCCGTATATGGAAGATAGGACCAAAGAAGAAGTTGGAGATGATGGGCACTAGATACAGTGAACGTGCGGTTCATTTAAATTGCACTTTTGCAAACTTATATCTTGTAAACCCGAAGGAGGTTGACTCTTTAAAGTTTGTCTGAGATAAATTACAATCATAAAATTTAAAATTAGGTCTCTTGCAAGTCAAAAGAACAAATGAATGTGACAAATAAATCAATAATTACGATAAACCTGTTGCTCACTCAATTCTATTACTAATTTAGAATATGTACGAATTATCAGAAAAGATTGCGTCCTCTCAGTCATGTCAGAAATGTTTGAGTTTTTCGTAAAAACACAAGAACTTGAAAAAAAGTTTCAGTTTTGACTGGAAAATGTAAACATTTGAGATTGTGTTATTCTGCCTTTTCTCGTACTGCATGTACTGTCTGAATTCACACACTCAGTGCTTACAGCAGAGCTAACAGCTTCAAGGAAGAGGCTTCTAGCCAATAAATATTTCCTGCTTATGTGTTGTGTTATGGAACTTTTTTTTTTTATTGTAACGAATTATTGTACTGTATTTCCCTGTACCATATAATCACAAATTTAGCGTGCTGGTAAATACAAAATTGTAATACTGAATCTTTTTACTTTGATAGTAATATTTTTTTAAAAATCAAATATGTTTAATTGATTAAGACATTTCTATAAAAGCTAAACAATCTTATTCTTAAAAAAATCATGATTACTTTCTGCTTTAATTTCCGACAAGAATACATTATATATTTCGAATTTTAAATCAACGAACACTATTTATTCATAATAGTTTATGACATGGAATAAAAAACTCCCTGCATTTTTTTTAACAAGACTCATAATAATGTCATGATTGACAGTAAAATACCTTAAAAGAGGTTTGCTCATTGGTATCTCTCATAATGAGGGAAAATGGACAAATACATGTGCTGCCAATTATTACCCTTGGAATTGCCTATATTTCATTTTTATATCAATTTCCCTGTGAGAGATTGCTTTCAGTTTCCTCCGTTTTGCTATCATTAGGGGATTATAACATTCCTGGTGAAAATCAATTATTAAATTGTAAAGTTTTGTTTGATAAAATTACATAATAAATTTTTAAAAGAAGCCACATTTTTTTAAATATTGTTTGAGTTACAATGAGCATAGAGTAAAAAATAAATTAAAAAATAAAATATGTCAATGCATAGCAGATACAGATGAACATAAACATTGAAATACGGCCCTTGTTGCTGGAAACTCGGTAATTGCCCATTTATAAAAGTGGGCAAATCATTTCACAGCATGGATCATTGCACACCCCGGCTTTCAGTCTACCCGCCGCGTCATGCAACGCCAATCTTCTTCCCTCCCCGAAAAGCATCCTACGCCCACCACGTGCACTTTCGGCTCTCGCGGGCAGAAGGCTAGCTCGGAAGTGCAATGCCCGCGGCATTGGCCAAGGCGTTGTGCAGGCCTGCCAACGCATAATTACAAACGCATTTTATACGAATGCACCTTAAAAATAATTTTGTGTTTATACTATCTTAATGTTTTTCAGGAAAGCCTCCATTTTTTATCACCTGCTTACCCCACATTTGTTCCTCGCGCCTGTACTCGCGTGTAAACGTATCTCAACTGCATTTCAGCCACGCATTTTTCGGGTTTTGCAACCGTGCAACCTCAGCGTGAACCGCCACAATGACTGAAATGATACAGCGTGCGCGTGCATGTATGTAAGTGTAGAAAACGTTCTCTATGCTGCGAATCACTCTCGTAGAAATTATGAAGAACCAACTTCACGTTCCTCTCTTCATGAAGAATTAACATGAACATGATTCTCCCAATTAAAGCTGAGGTTATTATTTCTGCGACCAGAACTATCAGACACGCCCTTAACAGCTGCCACTTGCATAAAAATTGCTTTGATGTTTTTCACACCTGACTTTTTTGAGTGAGGCAAGCAGGGAGTGGAGCTAGGCGCGGCGGAATTAGGCGAAGGGATAGGGTGAGGTTGTGGGAAGGGATGGAGGTAGGCAAAGGGTAGAGCAAGACGCAGTGGTGTAAAGGTGGCGTTGCGGAGATAGAAGGGAGGGGCGAAGCGGGGTGTAGCATGAAGGGTACGTGGTGGAGGGATGGGGGCGGCGAAGGGAGGTGAAGAGGTATGAGCAGGCGGAGAGAGGCTAGCGGAATCGCGTGAAGCCTGGTCTGTGTGTGTGGGGCGGGGGGGATCGGGGAGAAGTGGTGGTGCGAAGTAGGGCGTGGCGGAGTGAGATAAGGTGGTTGGTGTGCAGCAAGACGGAGGACTGGGGCAAGGTGATTGGAACATAAGGAGGCAGGGAAGAGGGTGTAGATAAATTACTTACTTTTTACTCAATGAACTACCTGCAGGTGGCGCCGCTGACGCCAAACTTTTCTATATTCTTTACTAAGCAATTTCTTCATAAAAATGATTAAACATAGTTGTTTGATTCTTCACTTTCGGACATAATACGTAAAAAATAGTGGAATAGCTAATAAGGGTGAAAATTAAATAATAAAAAAACTACAAAAAGAGTTGTGAGTCGCAACTCTTCGTGTCGGATGTTCTTCCAACGCATTGCGAATGCTCCCGGAAGATTTTGTCTAAGAGTACATTCTTTCAGAGTATTATCAGACGGTTTATTAAAGAACATTTGCAGATTTGCAAGTCCCTATTCACAATATACCTTTCAATTTTTATAGATTTATATGAGAATATACTTTCGTAGTCGAAATTATAGGGGTATCCTATAATAAAACGATAATAATCTGACTGGGAGGCAACACTGGCGATGGGCTTCTTCCTTCCGAGTAATCCCAGCCATAAACCGCTTACTGCTGCATTCAAGTGATACTCGTACAATCGCTCGAGCGATAGGGACCTGTGCCATTCTTCGCCTCTCACAGCTGGTGACGGCGTCTTCCGAGGGGAAAGGTGCTGGGGTACGCGACCACGAGGTCAAGGGGCGCACACTCATCCGGACTGATCCTTAAACAAATCATCAGTTCCCCACAGGTTCGGTGCCAGATACGAATTTGGGGAGAGGAAATTCAAAATGTTTTTGTCGAATATTTCAGGTTACAGATTTTGTTAAATGTCGCAGGCTACACGCAATTCTTGCTTCGACACGTCTTAATGATTTTCCGATTTCCATTCTATTCGTTTTAATGATAATCCGAAAATATTTTTGCTTGAAAGTCGCGTGACAATTGAAAATTAATAGTTGCGGTACTGAATAAATTTAGGGAGAGAAATTTCCCTCCCCGTGAATCCGCGCATGGTTCCCCATCAAAGGCCAGGATGCGTCGAAAGACATATCATTTTTCTCGTTTGGTGGACAGACGGAAAGGGATGTAACAGTGGGTGACGGACTCTCGGAAGGACGCTGTTTTCGGGATGAGGGAGGATACATCTCATTCATTTCTCCAATTGTTTAATGAAATTAATGTTGTCGAGTAAGAAAACATAAAGAAAGCGAATTCTCAGAATACAGATACTACAGATCATAGTGGAGTGATCTTGGAGGAGGCGTATATTAATCAATTGCTTCTAAAATAGCTTTATGTCTCTTGCAAATCGAACATTTCCACATTCTTCATTACCATAGTTACCAGTTCCCGTGCATTTTCGTCCCTTGTATTTCATCTCAGATTACACTGTTAGGAACGTGGGCAGGTTAAGGCTCCTTATTGTTGCTATTTTTCTTGTAACTTTACATTTCTGCAATAGTCTCAGATCACCAGGCGTCAGGAACATGAACATGTTAAGACTCCCCATAGCTGCTGTTAATCATGTTGTAATAGTCCGTTTCTGCAATAGTCTCGGATCACATGGCATCAGCAAGATGGGCAGGTTAAGGCTCCCCATTGTTGTTGCAACAAGGTCTGAGATGTCCAATAGGTGACCATAGCAGTTAATGGGTTAAGAAAAAAAATTGTATCAATTGAAATTAGTATCGATGTCTCAGTATTCAAGTTGAAGAGAGTCCAGAAAAAATTCTGAACTCTTGCAATTTTCAAAAATTAAGATCGCGCCATGAAAAATGTTTGAGAAAAAAATTGAGGTTTCATATAAAGTCCCCCCAAGAATCAAAATAGCCGTTTTAAATTCGCAGGGCTTGATTTCGTCCAGATGGATCGAGGAATGTTAATTTAGAACATAGGGAGTTAGTGTCAGCAATATTGATCTTATGCGCATAACTTGATGCAGATGCTTGATGCAACCACTTTGGTGCCTGTATGCAAATGGTGCCAGGGATGGGACCCCTTCTCACTTTGGTTTACCTTGGGCTCGTCTCTGTCATATTAGCCAAGTATGGAAAAGGGTGGTAGATGATGGATAAATCTGAGAACGATATGATGATGCAGTTGGGGATGACATACGTGGGATGAGAAGGCTACCTTGCCACAAACATGAAAACAGCAATGCCTTAGGCAGGGTTTTAAGCCACTCAAAGCACTATAACCTTAGCTTTACTGTACTTACATAGGGTAAGTGGGGTAAAGGTCCGCATGTATTGAATTGTTACAGGGAATGTCAGTGTAAAATGGTACACCATTTTCAAATGAATCAAGTGCCGTCACGATTAATCAAAAACTAAAAATGTGGACTTTAATTCCCAGCTTCCCCACATAATACTATATACTACTTCTACAAACAATACTACCATAGGGCAGCCAAGTCCCTCTTTAGTATTGTTTCTTAAAAAGTTCTTTCACTCAGTCATGATATTGTCATGAAATAGGCCAAATTCACCTCAGAATCATGAATACCGTTTGTCAACTTCTTGCTAATCTTATTGGAAATACTGATGCCATTATTTACTATGTTGTTTAGACCCAGCTGGAAGTGTTTTTGCAGTAATATGATATATCAATTTTTAAAAATGTATTTTATGTTAAAAATTGTAATAAGAATTTGAAGTTCCAAATAGAATATTTGAGAAAGGCTTTTATGTGAGAAATTTTCTACTAAATTTTGAATCTCCTGATTTATTTTTGGTATTATATTCTGTTGTTATCACTAAACACTGCACCTTTATCTTGTGAAGAAATTTGTAGTGTTTGCAAATTTTAATAAGGAACCATTTCTTTTTTTTCTAGCTGCAACGTTACATCCTCGCAAGTGTCCATACCTTGGACGTTACACTGTCACAGGTCTACATGAAAATGTACCTCAACAATTGCATCATCACAAACGAAAGAAGCGAGCAATTGTTCGAAGCAAACGTCAGGATGAAAGCAACACAGAACCAGACTGCGATGTAGAGAATTTTGAATCCCTTTCTGTGGGATGCACTGAAACTTTGGATACCATGGATTTTTATTCCTGTAACAGCGAGGCAGTTTCAGGTATTTCTTTTTTTGACAAACATTGAATTATATTATAACATACTAACAAAAATAAAGGCGTTAGGGAAACAGGCATTACAGTTGAGTTTTAGATCAAATCACATTTTAATTGACTAAAAATAAGCCCTGTTTTAAATAACAATTTTTTTGTAAAATGTAATTTAATGAAAGTAGGTAATGGTCATTTTGATAATAAATGGCAGTTCGTGTGATGTGACTGATAGAAATATAAGCAAACTTCATAATAAAATGAAATTTAAAACATTAAAACTGGAGTGAAATTGTTGGTTCAAGTTTGTTTATTTCCTTATTTGTGATGTATTGGGCATCAATTAGTGTATTTATTTATAATGTTCAGTAAGGATTTTAGACACTATCACATTCCAATATTGAATCACATTGAAATGTAATAGTTCTTTAATTTGAGCTGTACTTTAGCTGTGTGAATGCTTTTATTGGAGCTGTGTGAATGATATATTGTCCAATATTATTTGAATCAATATGAAATGTGTATTTTGTATTGTTGACATTTATTGTCACATTACATGTTACTAGCTGAATGTATCATTGCTGATGCTTTAACAGGTTCTCCACTTTCTGGAAAACATAGAAAATCGGGAAAAATCAGGGAATTTCATTGTTCTAGAAAAGTCTGGGGGAAAACAGGAAAGTTGTAGAAGAATTGTTAGAAGTCAGAGAAAATTTTGAGAAGGTTATGAAACCAAATATTATTCCTTCAAAGAATTAGTAAAGCAGTACAACAACAAACATTATTTTTTGTTCAGTTTTTATGTGGTGAGAAATTACTACTTCTGGAAAGTTCAATGTTTCATTTAGTTTGTATTGAAGACCTATTATAACTTTTCTCCTCATTAATTAGTTGTTTGTTTTGAACAAACTATGGAAGTACTTTTATTTTAATGGTTTCCAGATTGCAAGCTAACTCATCCATAAATATCAGTATACATGTATCATTAGCATTGTTTTGATGAAAGAAGACTGTCCTTTATTCCGTTTGTGTATTTGTAGTAATGCAAGTTGGGTAATTTGATTAATTTATTGTTTTGTAATTTGTTCACTGTTGTTCTTTTATTTGAGTTATAGATTTGTACATTGTTTGTACATTAAAAAAATAAATAATTAAATAAATAAATAGTACACTGAGTTGTAATGGTAATTGTGTTACTCCTATTTTTATGTCATTATTAATGGAATTTAATATTTATTCCAGCTTATTCCTGTCATGGAAATTGGGAGGAAAATGGAACCAGTTTTCTTATAGCTTCTCCTGTCAGTCGAAAGTCTACTGGGGCAAGGAGATACTGCTTCATATACACCCATGGAGGAAACAAAGGAGACGGAAGTATCCTATACAATGATGCAAAATGGAAAAGGGATACTACGCTACAAGTGTCTACTGCAACAGAATCCTGTCATAGGAATATTACTCCTGGAATTTCAGGACATCGTGTGTTCAATCTTACAATGATTGGTTAGTGTTGTTTTCTTAAAAATTGCATGTTTTACTTTATAATATTATTGCTATAAATATTTTTGTTTTTAAACATGGATTATTGTAATAATTAAGTTTGGATTTCTTAACCTAAATAAGACTCAAAGTAAAAAAGATACAAACAGCATGGATTTTAGGTAATCTGAGGGCTCTGTGTTAAAGCATAGGAACACGTGGCAAAAGGCGTAATGTAGATAAAGAGCTTAAGTGCGAGAATGGTGCAATTCCTGGGAGAGAGCTAGATGCTGCAGAGTGTGTTCATTGGGTGCTCTTTAATCTAGTCACTCTCTTCTTCGCTGTAGTCAGTAATCAATCATAGTCAATCATTTCCTTTTCTCCCTTCAGTCAGGGGCTCGATGTCATTTGATCCTGGGTTTCCAGACAGTCATCCAACCAAGAACCCGCAATGTCTCGAATTCTTCACATCTATGACTTCATGGAGTGTAGTTAAGGAATTTGGAACGTTGCTGGCCTTTGATTTCAAAATGATTTCATATATATTGCTATTGCTGCAAAATATTGATTACCGAATGTGATTAAATAGAAAATGTATATTCATGTATTATAATTTTTTTCGATAAACTTGGGATTTTGCCACAGTGCAATCTAAGCACTAGCTGCCGCTTGCATGAAATATTGTTAAGTATCTTTGTCTGCAACGTCATCTGTTGTTAAATTCATTAGTGTTTTTTACATAAAAGCAGCAAAAATGTCCAAGATAAAACCAATCTGTAATAGAAATTAAAATGTATGAAAACTCCCTATAAATTATTCACTGAAAATTTTACTATTCCTACATTCGGCAAAAAATATTCTTTGTCAGTATTTTTTATAAAATTTGAAATATTGTCATTTGTGTGCTACTTACAGCTGATATTTTCATTCAACCTCTGAGACTAATATTGAAATCATGAAAATAAAAAAAAATAGTGCATGATTACTATTACTAATTTTTAACATCCATTTTGATCTCAGGTATGATGTAAAAGCACATTTATTTAAATTTACTAATATTTCAGAATTAGCAAATCCTCTAACAATATTTTTATATATTCCTGTTGTTAAAAATTGTGATACATGGAAATTCTTATTTCTTGGCCTGTTTATTTAATTTTTTTTACACAGCCACTTGTAAAAGATGTGCTTTCAGGGCATGCATAGCATGCTAAAAGTTCAATTTTTATCATTAGTACTAAAAGTGAGACGATGTTCAAGGGTTCAGATAAATCTGTGAATACAACAAAGAAAACTATGTAATTTCATCTGTTTGCAACCGCTACTATTGACCTTAATTATTAAGTCATAGTATGAATAAACAGTACAAATAATATAGTATGAACGATAGTGTAAGTGAGTTATCATTAAATGATTTGTTAATTGAAGTAAAATAAATTGAGTCAGTGAGGCTGACTAAACAATATTATATGAAACATGGTAAAAGTTATTATATTTTGCTCGTAAGATTGTGCCACTCAGCCTGTTCATTTCATGCCGCAACATTTCCTACTCATAAAAAATGTCACTTTTACCACTCATATCATGAATATCTATTTAATGAACAATTTGAAAAATATCTGTTGTAAGGTACAATTAGCTAATTGTTGTTACACATTTTTGGTTCCAATTGTGCAATTTCTTTTTATTGGGATTCATTTTGAGTCTTCAATGCAGATATTTCCAATAAAAATTTTGAGATTTTGAAACTATACTGAAGTACTTTATATGTAGTAGAAAACAATTTATTTTGAGAAATGTGTTACAAAGTCAGTTTAACAATAGTTAAATGTATAAAATCAATAATTTAACATGGCAACTAACCATAAAAAATGGATTATATCTGTTTCTTGGAAGATGTAGTTTTGCTTGTAGTATCTATTTCTTTTCTTTTCCTCTTCAATTTCTCTTCTTTTTATCTTCACTTCTGGGTATTCACTGTGCTTCTTTGAAATTATTTAATCATATTCTTCTTAATAATCTAAACATACTAAATAGGTGTCATACTAAGTAGGATTCATATCTTGAACTGTTCATTATTGACCTTCCATTTGTTGTATAATTCAATTTAAATTTTAAATTAGTGAAATGAAGATGTGTGATTTCACATATTAAGTATGTAACACATCTGTTCTTTTTTGTTTTATTACCAACATATTTCTTATCTATGCTGATCTTGTCCATTAATTGATGCACCATTCAATTTTAGTTTATTTCTTGGTAAATTTTATTATTCAAATATTGTTAAGATGTACACTGAAGAGCCAAAGTAAACTGGTGTACCTGCCTAATAATGTGTAGGGCCTCCACGAACACTCAGAATTGTTGCAACATGACATAACATGGACTCGACTAATGTCAGAAGTTGTGCCGGAGGAAATTGACACTATGAAACCTGCAGTGTTGTCCATAAATCTGTAAGAGTACAAGGGGATGGAGATCTCTTTAGAACAGCATCTTGCTAGGCATTCCAGATATGCTCATTAATGTTCATGTCTGGAGCTTTTGGTGGCCAGTGGAAGTGTTTAAATTCAGAAGAGTGTTCCTGGAGCCACTTTGTAGAAATTCTGGACGTGTTGGCTGTTGCATTGTCCTGGTAGAATTTTAATTTCATTGTGACCTTTGGGATGCCCGATTTCTCTCTTGCGCCGACTATAATCATGTTCAAACTCACTAAAATCATGATAACCTATCATTGTAGCAGCAGTAACCGATCTAACAACTGTGCCAGACTCTGGTTGTCTTATATAGTCATCAACCAGAGTGCTGTATTCTGATTGGTTCCAGATCTCTTTATTTCAATATGCATGGCTGTACCAGTGTTTTTCTGCTCTGCAGTGTATTTTAGAATGCAAAACAGTTTGAATGATTCCTTTTTAATTTGTTTTCCAGGCCAGTGTGCTCAGGCAGCTTCTACAGGTGCAGTGTCAGCCACTGCCGTTCTGTTACCATCAGTATTCTTCATTATCATAATAGTTGCAGTGATCTCGAACTTAAGATGATGACGGCAGTCATGTCAGTGCAAAAATATTTCAAATGAAAACCAGGTTTTAATTCAAAACTCACTATACTCATGGCAAGTTAACAGTGAAGGCTACCTGTAAGAAAGTAGGAGCTTGTTTGCCTGGAATCTTAAAGAACAAACAACAAGTAGTCAAATGAAAGTGTAAATATGTACCATAACATATTGTTACACACACAGAAGTGCATGGGAGCAACTGTGCCTAGAATGTGTAATATTTAAGTAAGTTGTACCTCTTCAGAGTAAATTTTTATATCAGATCATTCCAAGAGCAGAACAAAAGACAAGGAAGAGCGCAACAACAGAAAGAGGTATAGAACAGAGGAAAAAAAGCTGTTTGACTGAATTTTGTATGAATGTAACCACCAGAAGATTGACTCCTAATGTAAGATGTCTCAACTTGATTGTGTGAGGCCCAAAGATTACTTCTTAACAATGACTTGGAACCATAGCATCTCTATAGCTTGATCTCTGGACGTGGCTTTTGTAAGGCAGTTTTGTGATAATGGTAAGCAGCTGGACCAGTCATGAATAAGTGTAGATATATCAAGGTATGTTTTCAACACTGTGAATATATTTTGACTTTGTATGTAAAGAAATGTGCCATGTGAAAACAAGGTACAGGGCAGCTTGTGATGAATGTGTGGCTAAGGAAGCGAGAAGAAGACTGCACAGCCAATGATTTTCTCTCAGCAGGCTTCAATTAAATGTTCTGCACTTGAGGGAATTGGGTACTTCTGTGAGATAGCTGGAAGTAATTACGCAGAACATGTCATTATTTCTCCTATTTCATCTTGGATATTTTTGCTTGATGTTTTGAATGTGACTTACTATTATGAGGGGCTTTTTTCTTTCTGTAGACACGTTAAGCATTAGGATCCTTGACTGCTTTAGCGAAGCTCAGTTTCAGATTCAAAGTAGCTAGATCAAATGGTTGTTATCTTAAATTATTATTATGAAGACTCAATGAATATTTTATGCTACTTTTTGAGTGTTTTCTTTGGCCGTGATGAATTTTCCGTTTCAGAAGGGTACCTATTAGCAAAATGGAAATCTAAAGATCAAAGAATTGAATTGAAATGTAAACTAATTAGCAGAAGTGTGTATGAGAATATTTTGAGTGTCATATCATGGCCTGCTCATCTGTATTGACTGTGCTCTGTTTGGCTTGACTACTTCAGCTTTCATATTATATTGCCCGGGTGAAATATAGTAGAGTTTCAGGATTGCAGTAGATATATTTTTCTACATGGTTCATTACGAGTGTCAAGCCAATGGTTACATTGTTTGGGAAGGTACTGCTGTGGCCATTGGCAACTGTCTGAGACCTGCACATCTCGGAAACAGGCAATCCCATACAGCTCTCATACAAGTTCAGATTCTCTTTCTTATATACATACAAATCATTGCCATTTCTTGATAAATTTTCATCATACTTATTTACTTATACGCTCATTATTGTTGCCCTGAAGAGAAAACCACATGTCAACATTTTCAAAAAATGTTTTTTAGATGATTTTTATATATATATATATATATATATATAACACCCGATAATTCAAACACTACTCTATTCCTTACAGCGTTTTTGCACGTTCGTTAACATATGTGCGTTCTATTGAGGTAGTTTGGGGTTTGTGTTTTTAATGCATTTTGCTAGTATGTAATGTTCCTTGTGTATTTCATTATTTTCATTTAGTTTATTTTTGTGTTTCATTCTTATAGTATTTTAATAGGTTAGATGTCTTTATATTAGTCGCTTGCCTATTTTGTATGTAGTTAATTTACTTCCGATTCTATATTTATAGTATAAATTTGTTGTAGATTTTTTTTGTACAAATTATATAAGTTGTGTAGGGGATATTCTATAATGAACACTATTTCAAATCCCTTGAAATTCAAAGCTAATAAAACTAATTTGTTATCTTAAACAATTAATTGGAGTCATATGAACACAAGTAGAGCCCT